AAGACGATTTCTCAAAATCTACTCATTAAAATGTTGTGATATTTGGAGGAATTTTTACTTTTTCTGTATTTTAGATAATGAGAACTTTGAAATGGAAGTTGAACAGACGATTTTTGTGACATTTAATAATTACAGTAAAATTATATTATTGATTATCTAAAAACCCCTCTGTTACAATTTAGTCAAGTAAGTTTCAAAAGGTAATGATTAATTATAGTTAGCTATATGTAAGTTTATAGGAAAATCTAATTAGTGAGTTTTTTGTAAACTGAGCAAAAGTGAAATTTTAAGGTTGTATTCAATCGTTTATGTTGCCATGGAAACTACGAAAACGTCAACTTTTACCTGTCAATCAAAATCTTTCATCAGTGTATTTTTCACTTGCCAAGTTTCAGCTTGTGAGCTGCAACCCTTCTCTTGCCATGATTTGGCAAATGACATATACTCACAAACTGCGAAAACTGTGTTCAGCCACCTGAAGCCAAGTGTTAATGTTGGCTAACTCAGTGTTGATCATCATTTCAAGATCATTATAGTTCATTGGGGCTGCAAAGCTGATACTGGTGCCATCCGCATTCATTGGAGCGGTGCTGTTGTCCAATGAGCTCCGCAAGTCTTTAATGTATAATAAGAAAAGTAATGGACCAATTAGAGAACCTTGAGGAATCCTACAATTAATTTGACTATCGTCGGATAGATGGCCATTGACACTACATTGTTGATTCCTAGGATAGGTAGGATGTGAACCAGCTGACAATTTTGGTTGAGGCCATAGTTCACCAATTTTTGGAGAACAATTTCATGGGAAACCATGTCAAAGGCCTTCTTTAAATTGATAAAAATCACCCCATTAAGGAGACCTTTGTCAATATTAACACACCAGTTTGTGGCTTCAAGCAGCACTATTCAATGACCGAAATTCTGACTGGCAATTCGATAATAGATTGTATTTAGATAAAATTGCGACCATTCTTGAAAGCGGGACACTTGCCTTCTTCCAATCATGGAAAATTCCCGTCGGAAGTGATCGGTTGAATAAAAGCAGTAAGGGAGGGGGCAAGAGTGTCTCTGCCTATTTTAAGGAGCTTAGACGGAATTTTGTCAAGCCCAGTAGCCTTGTTTGTGGCAATTTTTCTTAACAGGGTGAGGACGTCATTATTGGTGATTTCACGGAAGCTGAAAGAACTGTTAGTTTGCTTTACGTAGGTTAGCGGGTCTACATCTGAATTAGGAATTTTATTAGCTAGGTCTTCGCTGATTCTGGTGAGGTGAGGATTAAAAGCCTCAGCGATATCAGATGAGGCCCTGAATCGATCAACACCTGTTCCCGTCTTAATTTCTGTGACGCGGTAGATTTATTGTTATCACGTTACTGCAGCTCTTTAAAAGCCTCCTGTATTTGCTTTGCTTTTTAACTTTAGCGTTTAAGTTTTCACTTAAGTATTTTCTTTTTGCGACTCTTATGAAATTATTGACATCGTTTCTGGCTTTATTGAATTTTAGCCAGGTAACTGGGTCATTCGTCTTGGCATGGGTGCGTTTTAGGAAATCTCTTGCGCATGCAACGTAATAAGTTACGTATATATAGGTAATCCAAGGAGATTTTTTACCCTTGACTCTTTTCCTCCTTAGAGGTGCATGTTTATTAATCAGTAATGGACAACAAATTTTCCTTCCAATGTTGCCAGAGTATAACAGGGTCATCATCATGCACTGTAATGCCCTCCCAATCTACTTGATTGAAGTGAGCCAGAAAGTCGGCTTGGTTCAGGAACTTAAGATACCTAGTTTCATTAGTTTTGTGAGTACTAGTTCGCAGATACCCTGCCTTACGAGTCATGAAGACAAGAGAGTGGTCACTGATCCCAACGTGGACCACACCTGAATGAGAGACTTTTTAGTGCAATTAGTTAAGCACAAGTCAATGTGAGGCGGATACTCTAGTTGGTTCTTTGATCAGTTGATTTAGGCTGTAAATATCCATAATATTTAGAAGATGATAAATATTATGGTCAGTTGTCCCCTCCCCTTGTGCATTTTATCTACAGGTAACAATGCTCTTTGTTTGTCCTCCCAAAATTTTGCATAAGCATTGTGTTTCTCTTGGAGCCATTTTAACTCCCAAGAGGAATTGAAGACAATGCTTATGCAAAATTGTGGGGGGACAAACAAAGAGCAATATGGTATGTATGGTATTTTCTGGAGTGGTCAATTAGGTCGAGTCGAGTTAACTTTCGCAAAGACTTCTGGGGCTGTTACTGGAGACAGGGAAAACAGTCAGTCAGTGTAAAACGCAGACTGCGGACTATTGTTTTCACCACGCAGATGAGAACGTGACAACAATAGTCACTATTGTTTTGTAACTCTAAAATAGATGTTCGATTACCGAACCCAATCGAACGATTGGTGTTCGATTGGGTTCGATTGAATTTTGGTTCGATTTTGTTCGATTAGACACGCCGGATGATCAGAGGTCAATTTCTGATAGAGCAAAGATAAGAAACTAAAGGAAATCACTGTACAGCACAAGACCACATGACTACTCCGTGAAAGAAACCAGTTTGCTAAATCCACACTACGACTTTACCAGTTAAGGACAAAATAAAGGAGCACTGAGTGACGTATTAGCAAGGGGTAAATGCCTTGTACTGAATACCAAATCCGCTTTTTCATAGTTTACGAAGGCTAAAACACGTTTTGTGGAAAGGGTGAGTGAGGCTTATAATCTCTTTCACGGTATTTTCAGTTTTACTACACAATCAGTGAATTAGAATAGAACAATACTATAAATTCACTTTGGTTTAACCTTTGATCAACAAACAAATGGACCTCAGGAACCTGTGGGAAAATCTGAATTTTATAAAAAGGAGGAGTTAGAAGAGAATTCAATTATCTATCGTTTTTACTGTCACGCAACAAAAAAATAAATTGGAAACCGTCAACTGGAAGAAGCCAAGAAAATGAAATATTATAAAAGACTAATATATAAACAATTTGTCTAAGTCTCAGGTCTTTGTGGCCCACAGTTTCTGAGTTACTTGCCGAAACGTTTCACGCATTTTTGTAGAACTTTCTATGGAGACGCCAATATGGGTGTGCCGTTTTAGTGTACCAATATGGCGGCCGGAAATCGACAAAATTATCTGGAGTTCACTTTTCTTATAGAAGCTCTTTCTTTTCACTCGAGAACTAGCATACGTGCGCATAAACATATCTTCTAATACTTGAAATGGTTATGCTGCTGAAAATCTTTTTTAAAGAGACAGCATTCCTATTTTGGTGTCACGCACCGTGAAAACTCGGAAGACTACAAATTGCTGTGTGTTTTTGAAATAAAACATGCTTCGGGACTGGAAACTCGTACAAAGATTTAGTTTTTGTTTATCTTCAACCTGGTGTAAATGAGAATTCGTAAAACCTCGCTATTTTGACTTTACAATTTGATGACGTCACGGTGAAAACCATATGGTTTTGAACAAGTAAGAACACCGAACAAAGAAATAGTAGTATTGGTGTTAGTCAGAATAACATTCTCATAGATGCCACTATTTCATTTCAAATTAAGCCTTGGGGATATGAGGAAATGAAGAACTCAGACGAGAACTCAGACGGTTAGGGCGGAGGGATTACTCAACTATACGTGAATGATCACCGAAATAAAATAATCATCCAACGTTAAATTCTAAGCGATGATTATTATGACGTGATTTACACCCTTCTCCCTCCCAGTGACTATTGTAAACATGTTAGAGACCGAGACCAGGTTTAAAAATGGTTGTAGAAAATAGCATTTTGATCAGGCTCAGGATTCAGAGAACTGGGCACCACACCTCCACCAAGAATTTCTTGGAGTATAACTTAAACTCACGTGTCTTGCTATTTAGGGATCTATTTTATCACACCTTACCTAGAACCAATTAGCATCGTTTTTACCAACGTAGTCCGTGGTCCCTGGGCGGTCCGTGTCTTATTCTTAGTCCGTGTTTTATACCCTAGTCACAATTTTATACCCAGTCCGCAGTCCGTAGTCCACAGTCCATGTTTTAAAGTATCTAATTTAATTAGCTAAGAACATTAACCACGTTAAATAAAGGGTATTGTATACTGACACTCATTTTAATTCTTAAGAGAGAAACTGAAGTCAATGCTATGCGGGTTCGATTTAGACTGTTCACAGTCCTCTATTTTCCGTAAGATCATCGAGATCGAGCGCTTTGCGTTACAGGCTGCCATCTTGCATGAGTCCAAAATACTTAGGGGGCGGGGAGCTATAATCCCCGACGCCCGCCCCCTCGGTACATTTGAAAATCAAGATACCCGTGACGGTAAGACGCGGTATGTCTAAACGATCTCACGAAAAAATAGGTCTAGGTTCGTTTCAACTGTCACTTTGATGTCAATATATTTTGGCAGTTGCTATGAAACAACTAAGAAGAAGGCGCCGAACGCGTCCAGCCCTGCATATTTCACAACTGTTGCTGATCTTCGTTCAAAGGCGTCACCTTGAAGAAGAAGAAGACTTCTGTTCAATTCCCAGTTTCGACTCATTCATTTCTTGTATTCTAAATCAAAATCATGGTAAGTAGAAAGGTCTTATAGTGTTATTTTTACCGGTTAGATTTTGATCGTGTCTGTCCTTGGGGTAGATTTCGAAATTGCATTCTTCAGACTTTGGGCGCGAATTCGAGCTCGTAGTATTAAATCGTTCTTGGCTCAATCAAGTTTCCAACACACTGCAGAAAATTTGAAAACATGATATTGTTTCTTTCAACCGAATTTTTAGTACTTTTGGATTGAAATTTTTAAAAGTCAAGGGTTTAATCCCGAAGAAAAGGATCGTTTAAACTTTTCGAGAAGTCCGCCATTTTATAATAATTTGTAACATTTCACCTCGAATCGAACCTTGATTTGAAACTCACAGACGTTGCCTATTATGTTCTTGGCTTTCTTAACCGAGAAAAAACGGTAGTAAACTTTATAGGAAGCAATAACAACTCTTAGGCCCAGTTCAAACGTCGATCTTTTCATGTACCGAGACGAATTTAATTAAAATATTCCCTGATTTTTCACAGCGTGAATGTATTTCTGTCCATGTTGGTCAAGCCGGGGTTCAGATTGGAAATGCTTGTTGGGAGTTGTACTGCTTGGAGCATGGAATTCAGCCAGATGGCCAGATGCCGAGCGACAAAACTATCGGCGGTGGTGATGATTCCTTTAACACGTTTTTCAGCGAAACTGGAGCGGGAAAACACGTTCCTCGTGCTGTCTTCGTAGACTTGGAACCCACTGTTGTCGGTAAGAAAATACCACAATTGCTTAAAAACCACATGAAAACTTGACGAGGTCAATTTTTAGTTTAGAAATGTAAATCACGGATTTCATGAGTCTACTTCTTCTGTGAGTTGAGTCGGTAAATTCAAAGTGTGTTTGATAATTTTTAGTCGCCGATGTTAGAAAGGAAGGAATTTGGTAAAGATAGAAATTGGTTAATTATTAACCAAAGTTTGCCATTGTTTCCTCCCCGAAAGATGGAAAATTATTTCGTGTTTTGGTCCTATTTTTTATTCTGTGTAGTGCTGTAAACATCTTTTTTGTGTGTGGAGTTCTTCCGGGTAGCACCGTTGCTATAAGACTTAGTAATGTTGTTTCCTTTTGTTGTTACCGCCATTTTGTTTTACCTTAGCAACAGCAGACCAACCACAGGATAGGACCAAGAACATAATGTGTTATTTCTACAAGTGGCTTTCACACTTAAGTGAGCAGTGTGTAACTGAATGGTCTTTCATTTTTTGTTACAGATGAGGTTCGGACTGGCACTTACAGACAGCTGTTTCACCCAGAACAGTTGATAACCGGCAAAGAAGATGCCGCTAACAACTATGCTCGTGGACACTACACTGTTGGAAAGGAGCTTATTGATATTGTTCTGGACAGGATCAGAAAACTGGTCAGTAACTTGCCGAACATTTCTTCCATTTAAGTATGATTTCTAAAGGAAAACAACAAGTACAGTAGTTCCTTTTGCTCCGTTAAAACATTATTTTGTCTGTTCTATCCTCACCAGGCGGACCAGTGTACTGGCTTGCAAGGATTCCTTATCTTCCACTCCTTTGGTGGAGGTACTGGTTCTGGGTTCACATCTCTGCTCATGGAGCGTCTGTCTGTTGACTATGGCAAGAAATCCAAATTGGAGTTTGCTATCTACCCAGCACCTCAGGTTGCAACAGCAGTGGTTGAACCTTACAACTCCATTCTGACCACTCACACCACCTTGGAACATTCTGACTGTGCCTTTATGGTGGATAATGAAGCTATTTATGACATCTGTCGTCGTAACTTGGACATAGAAAGACCAACTTACACCAACCTGAATCGTCTGATTGGTCAGATCGTATCCTCCATTACTGCTTCACTGCGCTTTGATGGTGCACTGAATGTTGACTTGACTGAGTTCCAGGTAGCATAGTTACTATTCCAATACAAAAAGCTTTATCAAAGCTTGTTTTTTAGTTACCTATCAGCAAATCAGAACTTTTGCTTTGTACAACTCTTTTTTTTCATTCATGTTTTGAATGGTACGTAGCTGATGATATGCATTTTTTTTTTCAAGACCAACTTGGTTCCTTATCCACGTATTCACTTCCCACTGGCCACTTATGCTCCAGTTATCTCTGCTGAAAAAGCCTACCATGAACAGTTGAGTGTTGCTGAAATCACCAATGCCTGTTTTGAGCCAGCCAATCAGATGGTAAAGTGTGACCCACGTCATGGCAAATACATGGCTTGCTGTCTGCTGTACCGTGGTGATGTAGTACCTAAGGACGTGAATGCAGCTATAGCGACAATCAAGACCAAGAGAACCATTCAGTTTGTGGACTGGTGTCCAACTGGCTTCAAGGTGTGTAAAACTTTATTGAAGAAAAAAGTTTATGTTGACTTTAGTGCTTACTTAGGAGAATGAACTTAAGACTAGTTTAAATTTAATTTTCAGGTTGGCATCAACTACCAGCCTCCCACAGTTGTTCCTGGTGGTGACTTGGCCAAGGTTCAGCGTGCTGTTTGTATGTTGAGTAACACCACAGCTATTGCTGAGGCCTGGGCCCGTCTGGATCACAAGTTTGATCTGATGTATGCCAAGCGTGCTTTTGTCCACTGGTATGTGGGTGAGGGTATGGAGGAAGGAGAGTTCTCTGAGGCTCGTGAAGATTTGGCTGCACTGGAGAAGGATTACGAGGAAGTGGGTGTGGATTCTGTTGAGGCAGAGGGTGAAGAGGAAGGAGATGAATACTAAATACAGAGCAATCCTCATGATTTGAGAAAAAGTGTGGTTGGAATTAAACATTCCTAATAAAAGCTTGAGTTGACCTCTAACCTAATGTGTGTCTTTAATTAGGAGAGTTATTTTTCTGTTTTGTTTGATTTATGTCAAGAGAGCTGATGTGTCACCTATTTCTCCTACATTTCATATGACAGTTTCCTTAGTATCTTGTAGCCCAAAAAAGAAGATTAAAAACAGTGCATACCAAACTACTCAATATTGAAGTAAATGTGCTAGCAATGGAAAATGTACTTTTGACTTTCTTTTGTATCGGTTTTCTTTCTAGTGCTTAAATTTCATAATCAGCTGGCCTTGACCAAATTTAGACTTTTTTTTTGGTTTGCTGGATAGAACTGATCTACGCAGTGTCCTGATAAGAGAGAGCAAAACAATTCAATATCGATTTGCCTTTTCCTTGTTTTGACGAACCAAAAATGTGAAATTTCATTTCAGATGAGGTACAATACCATAAAGCTCAACTGAAATCAGCAAATTTCCCAGTCGTTTCTTACTTGCTTCCCGTGAAACAGTGTCCTGAAATGAAGCCACAATCATTTCGTAACCAGAACTCTAAAGCCCTTCAGAACGGTCGCGGTTTTCGTGAAAAAACAAGGGAAGTGATGCACGTAGTCCTTCGCAGGGGCTCCCGCTCGGTACTTCAATAAAAATAGCGAAAAAAAATAGCTCGCGATGGACGATGGGAAGAGGGAAAAGGCGAGCCTCTTTTTTCTTCCCATCGTCATTCCCATCATTTTTTCCTCTCCCCAGTCTCCCTTCGACAAAAAGAGGCCTCTGAGAAATCGTTGTACTCGCCGTGAAGATGACGTACCAATCTCCCACGATCACGTACAAATGAAAAGAGACGACTGTGAATGAGTCTGTGGTCTGATATGCCACAAATACTTGTGGATCTAATCAGAAATATTCTAATATGAAAAACTGAGAGAAGGAGATTGAATATTTACAAAAGATGTATAGACACTAGGTACAAAAGCTGTTAATAGACCGTTGTTGTTGTTGTTATTATTATTATTATTATTATTATTATTATTATTATTATTAATATTATTAGTATTATTAGTATTAGTATTAGTATTGAAAGCACGCACCTTAGTTTGGTCGAGCGCTAGCTCGGACAACATGGATTCTCCCCTGCCAGTCACTTTGGTCTAGCATTGCCGTTCTGAGTCCTTCGATAGTGGTCAGTGTCCTCAGGAATAGTGACTGTCTATTTACCCTATAATAATACCCCTGAATAGTTTGTTTTGATTTGTAGAACGCTTTGAGATAAACCGCGTTTCACCACCATTTTAATTGATCGCACAATGTTGTATCACAAAAAAGTGTCAACTCAAATTTAATGCGAAGGATGCCTGGAAGGGACAATCGACGAGGAGTTCCCTCGTTATCTCCCCTGCCCCTCCCCCCCCTCCCCCCCCCCCATTTTTACAGCTGGCTACTTTCTGAACTGGGACCCGTTACGCACACTGATCTGAACGCTTTAACCGGGTTGGCCTGAAAATCCTGGCTACAATTCAGGGGTACCCAACGAGGATATAGTTCAAAACCACTTAACATAGCATTATTTTAGTATTTAAACGGTAGATGTAGGCATATTTTTATACCCTAAAAACTTTTCATCTGTTCGGATTTCCTAGCTGAAAGTCTAGTGATCCGAAAATGATAGGGATCAAAACTTACCTTTTCGAAAATTTCAGCCAGGAAAAGGCTCCCGAAAATTCTAGGTGGCCTTTTTTAGGGTAAAAATCCGTTAAAAATGGGTAATTATAGCATTTTGTAGATGTTCGAAAATCCTAGGAGAGGCAGGAAAGCAAGAAATTTTACAACAAATGTTCCGAAAATTCTAGATCTCAAATCGTCTTCCGAACAGATATTTTCCGAAAATTGCCGTTGGGTGCCCCTGACAATTCGACTGGACAAAAGAAGTTTTGAGCAGTTCATGCTCAGCACTGAACTTATTTGATCTTGTTAAAAATTGTGCAGGCTGATCATTTTGGTTGAAATGGTGGCCGAATACATAGTCTAAAAACCTTTGCAATCCTTCCCCCGTTTGCTCGTCGAAGGCACGCATGTGCACAAAAATGAGCCAAGACTCCCTCCCACCCTTCCTCGCCTTTTTTTTTAGATATTAAAACAGGTTGAACCGATGTTGAAGCCGTCTGATCTGCAAATGCCCCCACAGAAAATTTCCTTACTAAAGTCTCTTTCAACCTTTGNGGTAGTGGTAGTGGTAGTGGTAGTGGTAGTGGTAGTGGTAGTGGTAGTGGTAGTAGTAGTATTGAAAGCACGCGCCTTTTCGATAACAGTTGATTAGTTTGGTCGAGCGCTAGCTCGGACGACATGGATTCTCCCCCGCCAGTCACTTTGGTCTAGCATTGCCGTTCTGAGTCCTTGGATAGTGGTCAGTGTCCTCAGGCATAGTGACTGTGTATTTCTGTATTTACCCTATAATAGGCGGTCAGCGGTCATCGAGCACGATGGCCGCGAAATAGGCCATTTTACAGTTATGGGTGAAAGCGAGGGTGAGGGTGACCTTGTTTTGATACAAACCTTCTTTGCTTTGTTATGGAAATTGTTCTTGAAAAATACTAGTTAGCATAAAAGTAACTTGATTTACATAATAAAGCAGGAAGGTTTGTATCAAAACAAGGTCACCCTCAGGCTCGCTTCCATCCATAACTGTAAAATGGCCTATTTAAAGCTCCGTGTTGAAGAGAAATTAAGTTAAAGTTTCTTTACAAATTTTCTTCCATTTTAATTTTTCATGTCAAAATCCTTTATGTAAACAATGTCTGCAACTAAGAGAGGAAAACAGAAGCAACAGGAAGAAGTTTCAGAAGAAGAAGACTTCGAAACACTTGTTCACTTGGGCAACTGAGCAAAGGTCAGAAACAAATCATTCAGTAGCTTTAGAATAAATATAAGAAAATTCTGTCCAACAGTTATAGGATGCTGTTATTGGAATGATATTCCTTTATCTATACGTGAACAAACAACTAAAAAATTGTTTAAAAGAGCACTTTTCAACTATTATCTTGCTCATTATTAATCATCATCGCCACACCGACTCTCAAATGTTATATTTTTTTTGTGTGTGTGTGTATGTGCTTTTCTTTTTCCCTCTCTTTTGTATATTTTTCATATATTTTTCAAAGTTTATAGGGTTTATACTTTTCTCTTTTTTTCTCTTTTAACCTAAATAAAACTGTAATTTAATCAAAGGGCAAGTAATTAGTTTAACTATATCCTGCCATCTCCATTTATTCTTGTAACCTAATATTTATTCTACAAATAGCATCTTCATCTTCAAATCTTGTAATACAATATAAATGGCTTGTAAAATAAATAAATGGAGGAAATAAATAAACAAAATAAACAATAAACAATAATACCCCTTAATATTTTGTTTTGATTTGTAGAACGCTTTGAGATAAGCCGCGTTTCACCACCATTTTAATTGCTCGCACAATGTTGTCGTCACAAAAAAGTGTCAACTGAAATTTAATGCTAACTGCCTGGAAGGGACAATCGACAAGGAGTTCCCTGGTTTTCTCCCCTGGCCCCCCTCGCCATTTTTACAGCTGGCTACTTTCTGAACCGGGACCCGTTACGCACACTGATCTAAACGCTTTAACCGAGTTGGCCTGATAATCATGGCTACAATTCGACTGGACAAAAGAAGCTTTAAGCAGTTCATGCTCAGCACTGAACTTATTTGGTCTTGTTAAAAATTGTGCAGGCTGATCATTTTGGTTGAAATGGTGGCCGAATAGATAGTCTAAAAACCTTTGCAATCCTTCCCCCTTTTGTTCGTCGAAGGCACGCATGTGCACAAAAATGAGCCAAGAGTCCCTCCCACCCCTCCTCGCCATTTTTTTAGATATTAAGAACAGGTTGAACCGATGTTGAAGCCGTCTGATATGCAAATGCCCCCACAGAAAACTTCCTTACTAAAGGCTCTTTCAACCTTTGCTGAAATGGTCTTAAATTGAGAGTTATTCTTGCGTGCTTAACGCTCCCATTCGCCCCACAAATACCTGCTATTGTTTAAGCGTTGCGGCTTTTCTCTCGAGGTTTAACCTGTCGATTTCAAACAAAACAAATTTGAGGAGAAAAAACATAAACCCAAATACTTCATCGGGAGGTGGCGTTACTACATATTCCTGAAGGAAAAAAGTTTTATCTGACGAATCTAACGAACGCTGTTACTAAACGGTGGTATAAAATGGTAAGAATTTTTGTAATTACTGTTAGAATGTAAGGTGTAAGATGTAATAGACGATATTGTTTGTTAATTAGAGCATAATCCTTCGAATTGTAGTGGTATGTACTTAGCATCTAACGAAATTTACTTCATGGCTAAAACTTCATCCAGATCATTAAATGAAAAACTTAACATTAAATATACGACAAACTACATATATGGAAACAGAATTCTTAGTTCTCTTTTAACTTGTTTTTGTTCAGCGTGAGTGTATCTCTGTTCATATTGGTCAAGCCGGCGTTCAGATTGGAAATGCTTGTTGGGAGTTGTACTGCTTGGAGCATGGAATTCTGCCTGATGGTCAGATGCCGAGCGACAAGACTGTCGGCGTGGTAGATGNTATAAAATGGTAAGAATTTTTGTAATTACTGTTAGAATGTAAGGTGTAAGATGTAATAGACGATATTGTTTGTTAATTAGAGCATAATCCTTCGAATTGTAGTGGTATGTACTTAGCATCTAACGAAATTTACTTCATGGCTAAAACTTCATCCAGATCATTAAATGAAAAACTTAACATTAAATATACGACAAACTACATATATGGAAACAGAATTCTTAGTTCTCTTTTAACTTGTTTTTGTTCAGCGTGAGTGTATCTCTGTTCATATTGGTCAAGCCGGCGTTCAGATTGGAAATGCTTGTTGGGAGTTGTACTGCTTGGAGCATGGAATTCTGCCTGATGGTCAGATGCCGAGCGACAAGACTGTCGGCGTGGTAGATGATTCCTTCAACACGTTTTTCAGCGAAACCGGCGCCGGAAAACATGTTCCTCGCGCTGTGTTTATTGATTTAGAACCCACTGTAGTCGGTGAGATGCATTCTGTAAATTACAGGTTTTTCTTTTTTAAAATTATTTCCTTGTACAACATACACAATTATTATATATAAACCTAAAATGAAACAAGTTACTGAATTTTTGTTTGGCAAAGTAAGTTTAAGAAACAATTAGATTTCTGTTTTGGGAAGGGTATAACTATGAGCATCAGAGCAAAATTAAAATACCATTTTAATGCAGGATATTGTCTATGGGTAGCCGTTGTAACATGGTTGCGACAAATAGAAAAAAAAAGGGTCAAAAGGTGGACTTAATGGCAGAAGAGCAAATCAAAGCAATACACTCTTTTAGGAGCTCGGGGTCGGCTGAATGTTTCGTTATGTTCTTTCCAATTACTTTGCTGTTTGTCCAAACATTCAGGATCGAATGGACCCTATAAATGATATGGGTATTGCTTAAGATAAAATCAAAAAGGTAGACATACAGTCCAACGGTATTGACTGTTAGACAGTAGCCAATTAGATGTCAAGGGTCTTCATCCAAAAAACTCTGTTTTTTTTCCCTTCCGCTCAACCCGCCGACTTGCAATTGTTTTAAGAATAATTAACATGACTGATTCAGGAGAAACATTCTTGTGGTAACTGGAACGCGAGGCAGGTATTTTATTCACCCTCCTCCAGGTGTGGCAGATTCTAATAGAATATGACAGTCATCCATTCCTCAGTATGGGCCTACTAATAAGATATAGAACTGAAAGTCGACTTTTAAAAAAGTCGACTGAACAGCCACGAGCAAATCTGAATTGCTATAAATGAGTCCGTTTGAACGCGTTCAAACGTATGAGCTCCAAACCGCTCGCGTCCACCAGTGAAGATGCAAACGGTCTTTAGAGTTGGATAAGTTCAGAGACAGTCTAATAATCTTTTTCGTGTAACCGCAGAAGCTTTTAGACTGACGTTAATGAAATCCTCCTCGGTGACTAAGCAGACTCCTTAAACCGACCGTAAAGACGTGCCATTCGAGTGGGACTTGACTGAGCATATCATGTACTATGATTTTTCAGATGAAGTCCGCTGTGGTACTTACAGACAGCTGTTTCACCCAGAACAGTTAATAACTGGCAAAGAAGACGCTGCAAACAACTATGCTCGCGGGCACTACACTGTCGGAAAAGGAGTTGTTGATCTTGTGCTCGACAAGATTAGAAAGCTGGTAAGTATAGCGTTTTTAATTTTTTTCCATTTAATAATTTTCTTTCAAGACAGCCATATTAGCTGTATCTATTCGTTACTAGGCAGACCAATGCACTGGCTTGCAAGGATTCCTTGTTTTCCACTCATTTGGTGGAGGTACTGGTTCTGGCTTCACATCTCTTCTCATGGAGCGCTTGTCTGTTGACTATGGCAAGAAATCCAAATTGGAGTTCTCTATCTACCCAGCACCTCAGGTTGCAACAGCAGTGGTTGAACCTTACAACTCCATTCTGACCACTCACACCACCTTGGAACACTCTGACTGTGCCTTTATGGTGGATAATGAAGCCATTTATGACATATGTCGTCGTAACTTGGACATAGAAAGACCAACTTACACCAACCTGAACCGTCTAATTGGTCAGATCGTATCCTCCATTACTGCTTCACTGCGCTTTGATGGTGCATTGAGCGTTGACTTGACTGAGTTTCAGGTAAGATGTTCACAAATCACTCAACCTTGGATGGGCGTGGTTATAGTGTGATAGTGCTAGTCGAATTTTATAGCAAAGCTTTTGTCCTCTCAGTCTTCCTGTACCGAAGAAATACGAGGAGCATCACTAAACACTAATGAAAACTAAAGGAGTAAGCAACTTGAAGTAATGTTTGAAATTCAGGCTAAAAAAATAAGATGATAAATATCTGAACAAGTTGAAGACGTTCTGATAGATTCACTTTTGTTCACAGGCCACATTATACAAGTAACGGTAACAATAGTTCGGACCCTATTTTCGCTTCGCTTGGAAATTAAAGCGCGGAAAGGCCAAGGGAAACGAAATTTAACCCGACCACGTAAGAGGGAATGTATGAAAGCTGCTAAAGATTTGCTAGATCTCAATTTATAGGAACTTTTAAAATTTTAAAATTGCTTTTGAGTGCTAGAACTCTTTTTTTTTTTCTCTATAAAGAACTATCAGAATTGAATTCAGCCGGATTCAATTTTTAAGTAATTAAGAGCAAAAACTGAAAATAACATCTTTTTTAGATTTAAGAAGTCGGAATAAGTTTTGAAGTTGCTTAGATAAGTCTGGCATTGAAGATTCCTTTACCAACGTTTACCGCTGTATGTCGATATTGTGACTTTAATTCATTTCACACATTTTTTTAGACCAACCTGGTTCCATATCCACGTATCCACTTTCCATTGGCCACTTATGCTCCAGTTATCTCTGCTGAAAAAGCCTACCATGAACAGTTGAGTGTTGCTGAAATCACAAATGCCTGTTTTGAGCCAGCCAATCAGATGGTGAAATGTGACCCACGTCACGGCAAATATATGGCTTGCTGTCTGCTGTTCCGTGGTGATGTAGTACCTAAGGATGTGAATGCAGCTATTGCGACAATCAAAACCAAGAGAACCATTCAGTTTGTGGACTGGTGTCCCACTGGCTTCAAGGTTTGTTGGCTCCTTAGTTTAGCTATCTTCGCTGCTTGCCTTCCCAGTTTCTTTTAGCTGCAAAAAGTTAAGAAGCTCAGCATTAAACAAAAAATTTCGAATTTTAACAAATGTTTGGAACTGATTAATTTTTCAGGTTGGCATCAACTACCAGCCTCCCACAGTTGTTCCTGGTGGTGACTTGGCCAAGGTTCAGCGTGCTGTTTGTATGTTGAGTAACACCACAGCTATTGCTGAGGCCTGGGCCCGTCTGGATCACAAGTTTGATCTGATGTATGCCAAGCGTGCTTTTGTCCACTGGTATGTGGGTGAGGGTATGGAGGAAGGAGAGTTCTCTGAGGCTCGTGAAGATTTGGCTGCTCTGGAGAAGGATTACGAGGAAGTTGGCTTGGATTCTGCTGTTGAAGGGGAAGAGGAAGGCGATGAAGAGTATTAATTAACTGAATAATGCAAAGAGCTGCTCGGAGGGAAAGTTGTATACTGCACGTGTAAAAGTTTATCTTAGAATAACCGTCTTTCATTGAATAAAGCACTTTTCTCGTTTACTTGACTCAAGTTTACGTATTTGTCTCGACTTGAAACCCACAATGGAGAGAGAAACCATAAAAAGCACGGAGTCTACAAGCATCCAGACTCATCCTATCACAGACACTAGCTCAGTTTTCACTTGCTAGATATTGGGACCAGATGCCCGTGTCTTAAAGGTACCGTTGCGGACTTTTCCTGAAGGCCGAGCATGCGGGGCTTCGCAGAGACAGGAAAAGGATAGCTGTAGAAGCATTGTTTACAATATTTCATCCCGGTTACCAGCTCCTGGTATACCCTATGATTAGTCAAAAATCTTAAGCCTGAAAGTCAGTGAGTTCTAGCTCACTGTTAGCCCAGTGTACAATTTTAATTGCAGTGACTCGTGCATGTTAAAACCGCGCTTAAAATCATTTTACGTAGTCTGGATAGCTTTCTGGTCAAAAAAGAACCTCAAGACTTCACGGTAAAAGGCCCTAAGAAACCTCGCCCCTAGATCATGATAGGAGCTTAAGCAACCACGACGGCAACGGAAGCGACGACGTCACTTAAATAGCGAATTCACGCTTTTTGAAACCCCCATCATTTCATTCAATTTGTCAAATGCTGGAGAATTTTTCAGGAGTTAATTCTAAAGGACTGTATCTAAGTTCCGAAAAAGAAAACGAAAATTGTCGTCTTGTGGTCACGTCCTCCATAAAACGAGAAACTAGATGGTTTCACGTTGTAGTAGTGCAACAACGGCAAAGAAATGTACAAGAAAGCGTAATGCACGTGCAAAGTTGTTGTTTTGTGCTTTTGTGCCGTTCTCGTTGCCGTCCACGTCCTCGTTGCTTAAACTCCCTAAAAGACGAGCGGGCCGCGCCCCTCTTATTTTCTAGGGGAATAGCCCTAGGTACGAGGATGGACCTTCTGTACGGGTTTAGACTGCGAGCAGCCTCTCTTTTTCTTCAGACTTAGTAAGGGAGTGCACGCGCGCGCCTCTGCCGTCTAGCGCCTTCAGTCACGCGCGTGGTCATTTGCGTGTCTCGGACGTTTTGCTCGACGGACCAAGATAAAAGAGAGACTGCTCGTAGTCTAGTATGTGTTGAGAAGTTCACGAAAGGGTCATGAGGCTTCACCTTCTCGACATGCAACGCGCTTTATATTTGTGGTCAAATAGCAGTTACACTCAAGATATGGAAAAGGGTTCTGTTCTTGAGCCAGGTTTTTGCTTAGGACTGTGCCGTTGAGAGATCCATACCTTGAAACTGCTTAATATCAAGAAAGGACCTGAAACAGGACGACAACCTTCGGTTTTTAACCCTTTTTCAATGGGATATCACTGAAAAAAACTTGAAAGGGTTTTTTTCACTAGGAACCTGTTCAGGGAAGAGAGACCAAACACATGTCACCGAGAAAAGAAAAACGATAACTTTTGCCCTGCCTCAACACAATGCAAGCAAGCTATTACCCAACACGTAATCACCTCTGTAAAATGTGTCGTACCACATTTTCTTACTATTTTAGTGGCATCATCAACACCTTACGAGCAGAACCCGATATTTTGTCTTCGGTGAAAAGGGGACTCTACTTGACTCAAACCTTTGAGGTCGCCGCAACCCAAATTCTGACTAGTCAATCTCGTTCTCTCTCGGCAAACTGGTTGTTTTGAGTGCGAGCATCCGTTTATTGATAAACCGATGGTCATAACCGAGCCTGCTGTACCAAGCACGCAGCTATTAGGCCTGGGTTCGAAACTATATCCTAGCAACATACTCTGCATGCTCAACAAAGATCTTACTCGGTTCATGCAGTACGACAAAATCGAGCAACCGATAGAGAGGCGCTGCTGACAAGGTGTGGCATCAACTGAATATATTGGTAATCAAATAAAGTTCAATAAATGAACAGTTGAGTGTTGCTGAAATCACAAATGCCTGTTTTGAGCCAGCCAATCAGATGGTGAAATGTGACCCACGTCACGGCAAATATATGGCTTGCTGTCTGCTGTTCCGTGGTGATGTAGTACCTAAGGACGTGAATGCAGCTATAGCAACAATCAAGACCAAGAGAACCATTCAGTTTGTGGACTGGTGTCCAACCGGTTTCAAGGTGTGTAGGCTTCTCGGTTTAGCTATTTTCGCTGCTTGCCTTCCCAGTTTATTTTAGCTGCAAAAAGTTAAGAAAATCAGCATTAAATCAAAAATTTCGAATTTTAACAAATGTTTGGAACTGATTCATTTTTCAGGTGGGCATCAACTACCAGCCTCCCACAGTTGTTCCTGGTGGTGACTTGGCCAAGGTTCAGCGTGCTGTTTGTATGTTGAGTAACACAACAGCTATTGCTGAGGCCTGGGCTCGTCTGGATCACAAGTTTGATCTGATGTATGCCAAGCGTGCTTTTGTCCACTGGTATGTGGGTGAGGGAATGGAGGAAGGAGAGTTCTCTGAGGCTCGTGAAGATTTGGCTGCTCTGGAGAAGGATTACGAGGAAGTTGGCTTGGATTCTGCTGTTGAAGGGGAAGAGGAAGGCGACGAAGAGTATTAATTAACTGAATAATGCAAAAGAGCTGCTCGGAGGGAAAGTTGTATACTGCACGTGTAAAAGTTTATCTTAGAATAACCGTATTTGAATAAAGCACTTTTCTCGTTTACTTGACTCAAGTTTACGTATTTGTCTCGACTTGAAACCCACAATGGAGAGAGAAACCATAAAAAGCACGGAGTGTACAAGCATCCAGACTCATCCTATCATAGACACTAGCTCAGTTTTCACTTGCTAGGGACCAGATGTCCGTGTCTTAAAGGTACCGTTGCGGACTTTTCCTGAAGGCCGAGCGTGCGGGGCTTCAGAGAAACAGGAAAAGGATGGCTGTAGAAGCATTGTTTACAATATTTCATCCCGGTTACCAGCTCCTGGTATACCCTATGATTAGTCAAAAATCTTAAGCCTGAAAGTTAGTGAGTAACGCTGGTTAGCACTAACCATGCTTCGAGCAACCCGGGCCTGGTCAAAAAAGAACCTCAAGACTTAACGGTAAAGGGCCCTAAGTAACCTCGCCCCTAGATTATTGGAACTTAAGCAACCACGACGGCAACGGCAGCGAAGACGTCACTTAAAAAGCGAATTCGCGCTTTTTCAACCCCCCATCATTTCATTCAATTTGTCAAATGTTGGAGAATTTTTCAGGAGTTAATTCTAAAGGACTGTATCTAAGTTCAGAAAAAGAAAACGAAAATTGTCGTCTTGTGTTCACTTCCCTCCATAAAACGAGAAACTAGATGGTTTCACGTTGTAGTAGTGCAACAACAGCAAAGAAATGTACAAAAAAGCGTGATGCACGTGCAAAGTTGTTGTTTTGTACTTTTTCCGTTCTCGTTGCCGTCCACGTCGTCGTTGCTTAAACTCCCTAAAAGACGAGCGGGCCGCGCCCCTCTTATTTTCTAGGGGAATAGCCCTAGGTACGCGGGTGGACCTTCTGTACGGGTTTAGACTGCGAGCAGCCTCTCTTTTTCTTCAGACTTAGTAAGGGAGTGCACGCGCGCGCCTCTGCCGTCTCGCGCCTTCAGTCACGCGCGTGGTCATTTGCGTGTCTCGGACGTTTTGCTCGACGGACCAAGATAAAAGAGAGACTGCTCGTAGTCTAGTACGGGTTAAGAAGTTCACGAAAGGGTCATGAAGCTTCTCCTTCTCGACATGCAACGCGCTTTATATTTGTGGTCAAATAGCAGTTACACTCAAGATATGGGAAAGGGTTCTGTTCTTGAGCCATGTTTTTGCTTAGGACTGTGCCGTTGAGAGATCCATACCTTGAAACTGCTTAATATCAAGAAAGGACCTGAAACAGGACGACAACCTTCGGTTTTTAACCCTTTTTCAATGGGATATCACTGGAAAAAACTTGAAAGGGTTTTTTTCACTAAGAACCTGTTCAGAGAAGAGAGACCAAACACATGTCACCGAGAAAAGAAAAACGATAACTTTTGCCCTGCCTCAACACAATGCAAGCAAGCTATTACCCAACACGTAATCAACTCTGGAAAATGTGTCGTACCACATTTTCTTACTATTTTAGTGGTATCATCAACACCTTACGAGTAGAGCCCGATATTTTGTCTTCTGTGAAAAGGGGACTCTACTTGACTCAAACCTTTGAGGTCGCCGCAACCCAAATTCTGGACTAGTCAATCTCGTTCTCTCTCGGCAAACTGGTTGTTTTGAGTGCGAGCATCCGTTTATTGATAAACCGATGATCATAATCGAGCCTGCTGTACCAAGCACGCAGCTATTAGGCCTGGGTTCGAAACTATATCCTAGCAACATGCTGTGCATGCTCAACAAAGATTTTACTCGGTTCATGCAGTACGACAAAATCGAGCAACCGATAGAGAGGCGCTGCTGACAAGGTGTGGCATCAACTGAATATATTGGTAATCAAATAAAGTTCAATAAA